AAAAATCGGAGATCTCAACCGTGATATCCGAATTGAATGAAATTAAATGCATATTTTCCGAAATAAAAAGCAAATCAAACGAAATTCATGATGATACTCAATTTTTAATGAGAAAGTCAATCGAACCAAACGTCACAGCACAATCGAAAAAAATTATCTCGAACAATTTTTCGTTGAAAAATACACCGAAATCGTCATTCGTGCATTAACCGTCAACATTCGCTGATGCCTTACGCTTTAACCAACAACAAAAGTCGGCAAAACGTCCACGAACCGAAATGTCACAGAAATTGTTTACACCGCCAGCTAAAAACGTAAAAATTGATGCACCAAAACCAAAAATGGGCACGAAATCAGTGACAAATCGGTTGAATATTGTGACAAAACCACAACGCATCGAAAAACCTTCGTATCTGGTTTTGATCCAATGACCAACCCCGAGGAAATTATTGAATACATCGTTTCGGAAACGCCAGTAAGTGACAAAACGAAATTTGTGCACAAACTCGTCAAAAAAGATAAGGATGTAAGTACCCTTAAATTTGTTTCATTCAAAATCGAGGTGAATTCGGAAGAATTTGAGATTCTAAGTGACCCAGATATGTGGCAAGAAAATGTTCTGGTTCGAGAATTCTTGAAAAGTAAAACGTTTGGTGATTTTTTCCCGCCATTGAACCAAAACATCCGGAAATCACCGCAACCAGTTTTATTGGACTTGACCGAATCCCTAACGAACATAAACACCGAAAAATCACCGAACAAACTGGCACAAACATTGAACACACCGAAATCACCATCGAAACCAGTGACGTCACCACCGAAAGAACTATCGAACGAACAGTGACACAGCATAAAAAACAAACACAAAACTCGTCCAAAATAGTCTCGAATCAAACCAAACTCAATGTGTACATACAGAATACACATTCAATTCGAGACAAAGTCGATGCTATACGATTAGCCACCAAATCGTGTCCATTCCAAATAATTGCATTTTTTGAAACGTGGCTTCAAAAAAATATTACCGACATTGAACATTTCGGGAAACGGTATAACGTGTATCGTGGCGATCGGACAGAACGCACAAGTGACAGAATCGATGGGGAGGTGTCTTGATCGCTGTGGAATGCAAATTCAACAGTGAGAAAGTGATTCTATCAGAGGAAAGTGGATTAGAGCATGTATGTGTGAAGATTTCATTCGACTCGTGTAATGTTTATGTATTTGCGGTGTACATTCGGTCAGTACATGAAACGGCAAAATTCTTGGAATTCACTGAAATCGTAAAGTTAATCCAATACAACGAAAATGACATTGTGATGGTATGTGGTGATTTTAATCAACCAGGTGTCAAATGGATTAAAGCCGATGATGGTGATTATTATTTGCCAATCAATGTGTCGACAGAAGGTGGCATTGCTGTTTTTGACACAATGTTCGACTGTGAATTTTACCAACTGTCAAATATCGAAAATCCAGCCGGAAATGTTTTGGATCTTGTATTCACAAACATGTTTTATGAAATGTCGTTGATTGAATCAACAAGACCATTGATAAAATCCGACATTTGGCACAAAGCAATTGAAATTGAAGTGACGATTGATGGAAAAGAGCCCGCATCACAACACTTATCGGAAATTTATACATATAACTCGGCCGATTTCGATGCGATCAATGCATTTTTCACTGCAAATGACATTTTGTCAGGAATTAATCGTATAGATGACATCGAAAATGCATTCCAAATTTTCAACAATGTTCTACACGAGGCAATCGATACTTTTGTTCCGAAAATCACCGTGCAAAAAAATACTGATCCACCGTGGTATACGAAACATTTGAAGCACTTGAAAAATGTCAGAAGAAAGACATACAAACGGGCAAGGGAAACTGGCAACTTTGACGAATACAATACCATCACTGATTCGTTCATGCAATTGCAAGGCCAGCTTTTCAAGTCGTATATCAGTCGTATACAATCGCAAATCAGATCAAATCCAAAGCATTTTTGGCGATTTGTGAATGACAGGAGGAAAAGAAGCGATATTCCGGTTATTGTTGAGTACAACAATGAAATTGCGAACACTGACACATCGAAAGCCGAACTATTTGCTGATTATTTCCAAAATCAATATACACAGAGCGAATATATCAACTTGGATCAATTGCTGGATGAATGCGGAGACGTATCATTTGACATTGACATAAATGAAGTCGATGTGTTGAAAGCCTTGCACATACATTGTCAAAGCCATTAACAGTGCTATTCTGTAAGTCACTGCTTCGAGGATGTGTACCTGCGTCGTTGAAAAATTCCCGAATTGTGCCAATTTACAAGTCTGGAAAGAAAAGCAGTGCATCGAATTATCGACCGATCGTTATAATACCAACAATAGCAAAACTTTTCGAAATTGTTGTGTATAACAAAATTGACACATTCATTAATTCGAAAATCAGCCACAGCCAACATGGATTCGTGAAAAATCGATCAACATCGACAAATTTACTTCAGTTGGTGAATTTCACGATCGACTCGATGACCAAAAAATGCCAAACAGATGTATTGTACACCGATTTTGAGAAAGCCTTCGATCGTGTGAACCACAAGAAATTACTACAGAAGCTGGTGGGTTTTGGATTCGGCCGTGGACTTGTCAAATGGTTTCATGGATATTTGACAGCTCGCACACAATTTGTTGGAATCGGTGAACGAAGGTCAAGGACTTTCACTGTATCTTCTGGAGTACCAGCGGGAAGTATTTTGGGACCTTGTCTCTTCATTATTTTTATTAACGACATTGTCGAAATCGTGTCAAATGCACTTGTATTATTATTTGCAGATGATCTGAAATTAATCCGTTCCATACAATCGCCCATTGACGCCATCATTTTTCAAAATGCCATAAATCAATTGTCAGATTGGTGTACCGAAAACAGCCTGCATTTGAATCTAAACAAATGTTTTGTCATGACATTTGCAAAAGGTGGGAAAATCGACTATGAATATACGATCAACAATGGCCAACATACGTTTGAAAGGATCAATGTTCACAAGGATCTGGGCGTTATTTTCGACACGAAATTAACGTTTGTCAACCACATCGACATGATTGCAGCAAGTGCACACGCGGCAATGGGCTTCTTAAAACGCACATTGAAAAATAAGTTCACTATCGAATCGGCAAAAATCTTATATTGTGCACTGGTCAGGTCAAAGCTAGAATACGCGAGTATTGTATGGCAGCCATACCATCGTATCCACTCCGACAGAATAGAGTCAATTCAAAAAGATTTTGTGATATGGACAT